TTCGGGTTTCGGGTGAGGTTTCGAGTTTCGGATAAGGTTTCGGAAGCTATAATCCGAAACCCGAAACTTTCGGATTTGGTACAAAGGGTTTCGGAGCCAACTCTAACCCCAAAACAGTGATTGTCTTAGAAGTTGGGCAAAAAACATAAAAAAGGTTCTGATTATAAGATTAATTTTCATAATAAATACTTCACACGAATAGGCGCTAATAAAAAAAAAGGGTTCGATATGAACAAGAATTTATCAACTGGATTAAAAATAATGTAACCCAAATTATAATCACAAACAACCAAAATTTCATGCATCATATAATCATACACATATTGAAACTTGAGTCTAACCGATTACTCCACCTTCAATCGATTACATTTTTCACAAATTAAATCGACAATTGATTAAGGTTGAAAATTACATAAATTACGTTTACGTTACAAATAAATTGCACTGTAGTTTACAAAAATGTAATGTAATATTATATTTGATAATGGATTGGCATGATTATTGTACCAATATTACGAAAGCTTTATCATTATTATTTGAGATATATCACTACGCTCTGAGATACAATTTTGCATTCAAAAGTACACCAGGTATAATATTTTGACTAGATTATTCACATGATATCAAAATTGCGTAAAATTACAAATTACGGTAATTTTACAACCTAATTTATTTATGCTGATCTCAATATATCTTCCAAACCAAAATTTAACTACAACCGATCGGCAAGTACCTTTAAATTTTTTAGGGCACAACCAAAATTAGCTCAGATGTTTAAGCTTAAAAGACTTTATCATTAAATTTCTGTTTTCTTACTAATATTTGATTTCCCTACAATAATAATATGGCCAGCATTTCAAATGATAATATTACAACCACTGATCGTTCTACTTCATTGCATGGATTTAAATTACTTATTGTTATGTTTGGGTTTGTATTTTCCAACAAATTTTCAAACTTTTATATAGTATAATTAATAAACTTATAATTGGCAGTCTAGGTTGTTCTGTGTGTTTAGCCGCATTGGACCAAACAGTCGTTGCTACTTCTTCGCCTAAAATAATTTCGGATTTCAATGCATTGAATAAAATCTCTTGGGTTGCCGGAGCATACTTGCTTACTGAAGTATTTTAATTAATTTTCATCAAGATTCCGCCGATGTGATAGCATGTTTATCTTCTTTTATTAAATCTCACTTTAATCAATGTAGGTCTCTCTTCAACCAATTTATGGAAAGTTATCTAATATTTTTGGCCGCAAGGGGACTATATTGTTCTCTGGTTTTGTTTTTGAGCTGGGCAGCTTACTATGTGGTCTTACACAAAATATGGTAATTTTATTTATTATTATATAACATTAACGCTAACAATTCTTAAAATTATAAATTCGAAAATTAATCAATGCTTATAAGATTTCATTTATAATATTTCGTGCTATTGCTGGTGTTGGTGGCGGTGGAATCCTTATTTATGTATTTTAATGCATTGAATTATTTCAATTCGCATATAAACTAATTTAATATAATTTTATTATTTTATTTTTTTTGCTTTTGTTTGTAGACTTGCTGAAACTATCGTTACAGACATAGTTAGTGCTAAAGATGTTGGAAAGTACCAGAGTATTGTCAATGCATGCTATGGTATCTCTACTGTAGTTGGACCTATTTTGGGTGGTCTTTTTACAGATCATGTTAGTTGGAGGTATGTAATCAAATCTATATGGTTTATTTTTTTTGCAACTCTTCAAGTTTCTTACCAAAAAATAGGTGGTGTTTTTTTATTAATTTACCTCTAGGGCAGTAATAATTATCACAGTGACTTTTAGTCTTTATTCACCAAAACAAACAGCCTTTCTTAAGAAGATCAAGAGACTCGATATTATTGGTATTGCTATAATTATTGTATCAACAATTTGTATATTGCTACCTCTTAATTGGGGTGGTAATGTTTATGCCTGGATCAGTCCCATTATTATAGTGTCCTTTTGTGTTGGCGTGGTCGGTTATGCTTTATTTGGCTTTGTTGAAGGTTATGTAGCTGTTGAGCATATTGCTCCACGTAGGTATCTAATATAAGTGTGGTTTGAATTTTATTACATTTTATAATAATTAATTTATTAAATTATTTATACAAACTTTTGTGTTTGAATTTTTCTCGCATTTTATAATAACTAATTTATTAAATTATTTATACAAACTTCTTGATAGCACATCTTTTCAAAAAGCTTCATATAATTTCATGTTTTTTAGTAGCCTTTTTGCAAGGAATGTTATTCTTTAGTTTTATTATTTATGCACCTATCTACTTTCAAGCGGTAAAAGGTTATTCTGGTAGGCCATCCATACGTTATCTCACAAAATTCCAATCTCCGAAGTTTAAAATCCATTATTTTGTTACCATTATTATTAAAAGCTACCATGGCCGGAGTGGCATTAGCACCCTGCGTTCTTGGATTTTCAATAGCTGCAGCCCTAACGGGTCAACTATATTCTCGAACCAAAAAAGTAGCACATATTACTCTGTCTGATAAGTTCTGCTTTCATGACTATTAGTTTTGGATTAATCACAATGTGGAATGAAAGTAGTGGCCTGGCGAATTGATTGGGTTCATGGTCATAGCTGGATTTGGAGCTGGTATAATTTTTCAAGATGTTTTATTATGCTGTCAAGAGTCTATTGAACATAAAGATATAGTCATTACTATAGTTGGTGGTAGAATTGATTTTACAAATTAATGCGGTTACGGCACATGCCGTATTTTTTGCCGTAATTGCTGTGAGCCGTAAAGCCGCAATGCCGTAATGCCGCAGTGCCGAAATGCCGTAATGCCGTAATGCAGAAATACTATAATGCCGTTTGTTGAAATGCTGTACTGCAATATGTACTTTTCTTTAATAAATATACTGTTAATTATTTTTCGAATTCGATTTTGTCGACTCTGACTCCGTTTGATTTAGCACTGTACGACTATGAAAAATGGGTTATCTGGTCTAGGTTTTATTTGACTTAAAAGATTATCATGATTTATTTTTATTGTCAAGTGGGCTATTCTATAAGTCATTGTTTGAGAACATCTTTAGCAAGCTAATTGATCAGATATGACATCATTTTCAGATTTACAATAACAGTATGTTAGTGATGGGCACCGCTGATATTTTAATTCGAACAGTGTTATAAATCAGGTCAGGTTCTGAAATATTCTGTGGTTGAGGTAAAAGTCTGACCATTTCCATAAAATTCCAAAATATGAAAAAAACCTATCACGTACAGGATTTTTGGAAAAACTGTTGACTGCCTATCACTACAGTATGTATAAATTAACTTATATAATGTGGTATAAATAGTTAACTCTCACAAGTCTTGATTTTTAATTGGTAATAACAAATATGAGCAGATAAACAGTTATGAAGCATGTTGATGACTCATGAAATTTTCTATTTTTTGTTTAAGGTATAATTATTAGATAGTTCATATGTTCTTACATAATTAAACTTATTACTATCAGCTTTTGCAATCATCAAACATATTCATTATAATGTGCACACTTCCATATTTAAGTTCCCTTTATAAACATGATGAATATCAACATATTCATCAGTTTCTGGATTAGAGTGATTGCAGCAGATAATATTTATAGTAATAAGATGCTATGCTATAATTAATTCTACTATTGGTAAACTAACTACAGTCATTTTGGATATAAAAATAATTGCTGTATAAAATTATTATGTTTTCTTAAGAAGCCTTAACTCTTTTTATACTAAACTAATATAAAATTCAAAAACTTTTAGTTCATTATATCCAGAATTCAGTATAGAGAAGTTTATTATAAAGAGAGTTGACTGTATATAGTGGAATGATCTGGTATTGTAAAATAGTTTTTTTATATATTGCATACTAGGTGAAGGTCAGTCATGTAATATCGACAGTCTCTTCTGTTCCACTATAAAAATAAAATTGTTTTGTCAAGTTTTACTAATTGCATTACAATATTTGTTATTTTGGTATTGCAACATTATGGTATTATTGCATTATGACTAGTGATATAAATTGGATTAGCAAGTAGGTGTAGCACACATAGATTTAAATTTGCACATATATCTGTGCTCCTATTAATATAACATGTGTATAAATTTTTTTTGTGTATATTTTTTTTTGCATTTGCACTGATAAAAATTTTTGAATTTATAATACTGATTATGACATTATGGCATACAATTTTTACAGCAATTAGATGCTATGCCATAATTAATTCTACTACTAGTAAAATGCTGTAATTGCTGTAATTCAGTAATTCTACTACCAACTATAGAAATATCTTGTACATTGCATACATGTTAGCTCATTTTACAGAGAGCAAAAGATCAATAAATAATTTTTTTTAAAAAAAATGCAATATCTTTAATTTACTGATAAAGCTGAGCTGTTATTATAATTCCTGGACACCTAATAAAAATTGCTAACTGATTTTTAGCTAATTTGATTAAGTTTTTAATTTCAAGAATAATAGCTTCAATAAATTGATTTATGTGAATGCTACCAAGAATAAAATTATTATCAAACTTTCAATTATATTTTGTACTAGACACAAAATTCCTAATAAATTAGGTTGTACCAAATACAAAATATGATTGAAAGCCTGATAACAGGTGTTAGCTATTAAATAGGAGAGCAAATAGCTA